AATTTTTAAAAAGAAGATAAAATACCGTATTGAGCTTGGTTATATTTTATAATTGACTCTAGTGCTTTCTTTTTACATTTACTTGTTATGAATGTGTAAAACTTTTAGAATTTTTGCTTTCGCATCTTGTTAAATATAAATTCAGAATTAAAAGAGAATAATTGACACCGTTTTTATCATTTTATTACAGACGTTTCGTTACGAACTCATAACATCATCAGTCGAAAAATGAAATGAATGAACAAACAAGACGAAAGAGTATATATATAGACAACACAAAGAGAGAGACGAGGACACAAATTAAAAGAAAACGTTTTCTTTTAATCATTAATTTTTTAACGTCCCCAAACTTATTGTCTTTTGGTAATCAGAATACATTTAATATGAAACTCTTCTGTGAATACACCTGTTTACCTTTCTTATGTCTGTACCAATCCATAAGTAAACTTTCTTTAATATTTCTTTTTAAGTCATTCGACTCTACTGCTAAGATGTTTGTATCCCAATTATTATTGTGATTTTTATTAAGGCAATATTCTGCAATTTTCGAGTATCTCATGCCCTTAGGAGCTTCCTTGTGTTCTTCTTTCCGAACTTCTGCACCTCTGGCTGTCTGACCAATATAATATCCATCACAGTGATAACATGAATAACCATACATTATTCTCTTATTATCATTACTACAACGATAGGTTCTGCTAAACAACGACGAGATTCTATTTCCAGCCTTAAATCCAAATATAATATGTGTTGTGGAAGTTTGTAATATTTTCCGAATCTTATTTGCTAACACTATAGAACATTCACCGTAATAAGGCAAAGGAATAAATCATTTTTGAATATTCAGACCGGGTTGTTTCGTATTAATACTTAATTCAATACTACGAATAGTTTTCTTAACAACATTACGTGGATATCCATTCGCAATAAAAATCTTTTTGTAATATTCTGTTGTTTAAATAGACTATCCGATGAGCAAATTCTTTTTGCACGAAAACATAGGCATTTAAATAAATTAATTTTATAATTGCGGGGTTGATTACTTGTCCATCTGAGATATAGACCAGTGTTGGTGGATTTTCTATAAACATATGTAATTAATTCTGAATCTTTTCTCTTCACCATGACGTCAAGAAAAGGTAATTTATTATCTGTTTGCATTTCTATTGTGAATTTAATTGAACTTTCTAGTTTGTTCATAAATCTCACAAATAATGCAATATCTCTTTGTGTTCCATGTAATTTCATAAACACATCATCAACATAAAGATAAAAAATTGATGGTTTTTTCCATTCAATACAATGAAATGTGTAAGACAATTTGAAAGAATCAAACTCAAACAATACAGACTGCAACAAAATACGGAATTTCTTAGAATGTGTCTTATTTACAATGGAATGCCTAAATCAATTAGATTCAAACCATATAATATACAAGTTGCACGAACACGGAAATATCAGGAGTTAGTTAGAACTATGCTATATGATCTCTGCAAAGAACAACAAAAAAGATTAAGGAAATTAAATTTAGATATGTTAGATTGCCAATCGAGAATACAAAATGCTGTTAATTATTTAACTTGGATTGAGATTGAATCATATATTAATACATTAATTCATAAAGAAAAAGAAATTATAGCTGTATATCATAATAAAAAATATTTAGCATTAAACATCCGTTTTAGTCAAGGTGAATTTAATAATAAATTAGTTTATAATTATTCATATCGTGCTTTATCATTAGCTGAAGAAAATCTTTTAGCAAAAGGTTGGAAATATGCGATTAATCTTAATAAATTTAATAGTTTGAATAACAAGGCTAGAAAAGGCTATTAATATTGCTATAAAGAAAATTAAACCATTCCACCCCAAATTAACTATAGATGATGACAACTTGAGAGAATTATTTTATTACTGTACAAAAAGAGCTAATTTTATATTTAATAACGAGCACTATGATCAAATAAATGGCGTGTCAATGGGCAGCCCGATTGCCCCTATACTTGCACATTTATTTATGGGTGAACTTGAAGAGAATATTAAAAATTTTAAAGGGAAAAAACTATCAATTTTTTATCTTTATGTTGAGGATGTGTTTATGAAATTACATGGAACACAAAGAGATATTGCATTATTTGTGAGATTTATGAACAAACTAGAAAGTTCAATTAAATTCACAATAGAAATCCATATATTATATTTGGATTTAAGGCTGGAAATAGAATCTCGTCGTTGTTTAGCAGAACCTATCGTTGTAGTAATGATAATAAGAGAATAATGTATGGTTATTCATGTTATCACTGTGATGGATATTATATTGGTCAGACAGCCAGAGGTGCAGAAGTTCGGAAAGAAGAACACAAGGAAGCTCCTAAGGGCATGAGATACTCGAAAATTGCAGAATATTGCCTTAATAAAAATCACAATAATAATTGGGATACAAACATCTTAGCAGTAGAGTCGAATGACTTAAAAAGAAATATTAAAGAAAGTTTACTTATGGATTGGTACAGACATAAGAAAGGTAAACAGGTGTATTCACAGAAGAGTTTCATATTAAATGAACATTTTGTTAAAAGTCTAATCCTGTTAGATTTACGAGGAATTCTCAACAAGTCTGACGCGACTTTTCGAATGGCGTATATTCTAGTTTGTAGTGTTTGATGCGCTGCTTACAATAGTGACAAGCGCTCGTCCTCTCTCGACTCCTGTGGGGAGTAAAAGGGATATCAAAAATTAATTAGGTCACTTTTCACATGTAAAAACGAATGCAGATCATCGTGGAAAGATGAAAAAAAAATCTATTTGTATCAAACTTCTTTTTTGACAGTCAGTCTATTAATTTTTCCGTGAGGTTAACAATGTTGATGAAGTAACTTCTTCCTAGTCGACTGTCTATGCTCAAATAAGCAGCTGAAACCTCCATTCCCATTCTCGCATCCTCAGTTAGTTTCAAAACCTAAACAAATTTCTCGTTCACTCAACAAAAACGAAGAGTTTAAAACTTACCGAATATGATCTTCTGAAAGTTTTCTATACTATGAAATACTACGCAGTTGTATTGAAAAATAACACGTTTTTCTACTTTTATGTGTCACGGAATACCGTTGAGGAAAAGAAGTTAAGGGCTCCCCCTCAGAAATGGTGATTTTCGGTCAAAAAAATCGGTTTTGAGATACACACATGGAAAGATAGCCTGAAATGTCTACTTCCAGAATCTGTATTGCTTTTGGTTACAAAACTGATTTTTCGGGGATTTTGAGCAAGTCTTCCAAGAGCCTCGAAAAAATGGGTCTTTAAATAATGTTTTTTTCCTGGATACTTATGCAATTAAAATTTTTCTGAAAACACAGCTTTGTAGAGCAAATGTTTCTGATCAAAATAAGACCTCGCACAACTCTGTATGACCTTGCATCAAAAAGTTAGAGGCATTTTCCTAGAAGTCCTGAAATCGAGTATTTCATACAGCGTTTAATAAAGCGTTTTCACTGTAGGAGAGTTACACTTGAACGGCGTCCCAAGATTTTTAATAGGGGTTTGTCGTAGCGAGTTCATTCTTTTTTTGTTTAAAAGAAGAAAAGAAACTACATCGACTGACCGGCGTCGATTTTTGAATTAGGTCTTAGTTTTTTGTCGAACGGAGGATTTTTAGAAAAATCCGGAAGGCTTTTTCGGGTTTTGGAGGTTGTTGGTTGCCTGGAAAATCAATAAAGGCTTAATTAAAAAATCGACGCCGGTCAGTCGATGTAGTTAGTTTAAAATAAAACAAACCCGAACTCTCCAGCTTGAAGTATATTAAAAAATCTTGGGACAGATCGGATGCACGGTGTCGGAGATAATTTCTGAGGGGGGGGCCCTTAATTTCAGTTCTAATTGCTGAGTATGCTTTCATACATTTAGTAAATAACATTTATTTACGTTTTCACTTACAGTAAAGCCTCTACTATTGAACACTTCCTTATTATGAACGCTGTCAGGTTCGATGGTCCGATTTTTGCACCAAATACATCTCTCGATCTTGAACATGAACACTTTTATTGCGGTCCCACTTGGTATCATAACCTCTCTAATGTGAACACAGCTGCAATGTTTCTCTCTCTCTCTCTTTCTTGTCTATTACCTGTTTCTTATTTAAGGCGCACGTAATTCAAAGGTGGAGCACTATTTTAGTTTTGATTTTCTTATAGACCATTCGATAGAGAATTTTGCGCTGATCAAGAATGTCACGCTCTTAGCCTTCCCAATGCACATTTTCATGTAGAAAAATGCGAAATATTGTTAGGATCTCAAAATCGGATAAAATCTTCGTGTTTCGAAAAATTGAATATTTTTTTTCCTTTGTATTTTGAAGCTTCCAAACATCTTTTTTCGGGTTCAGTATTGAAAACTGAATTAGGAAATGTGTTTTCGAAGTTCTCCACATATTACGTCGTTGGTGCAGAAATTCGTTCGAAGCGGCCGGAAAAGGATCTTCGCCAGAAAAACCTATCTCCTTTTTTTCCTTAAAAGATGGAACCTTGAATTTGACGCCATTCGATCCATCACATCGCGGAGCACAAACCCAAGTATCCTTTTTTCAAAATTCTTTTTCTTTCTTGAGATGTTGAATTTTCATTAAAACATTGCGGTTTTCACCGAAAATCGGGCAGGTCATTTTGCAATAACTTTTTCATTTCTTCATATATATTTTTCAAAAGTACACTCTTGGATAGCCCTTGAAAGTCGCTACAAATTGAGTCAGTCAGACAATCTAGATCGGTCGGTCCGGTCATCAGGAACATGCAAAAAACGTGTTGATGTTTCTGTCAAGGGTTATAGATAGTTTTCGACCCGTTACTTGTTAAAAGATATAGTTTAAACCTTAAGTAATGGTAATAACATGTCAAAAACTATATATAACTCTTCACAGAAACACTGTTAACGAAAACGAAAATTAGATATATCCAATGTCACAGAGATCTGTCAATATGTTACTAATAACGACAATGATAATGTCCCGGCAAGTATAAACTTCATCCGTTACTTTTAACGAGTGATGATTCAACGGATTGTGAAGTCTAATGCTGAGCATAGATTAATAACGCTGTATTCATCAGACTTGTTTAGAAATGTTTAGCTGTTAAAGTTAAAACATCACTTTTTACAATCAAATAATACGTGACGACAGGTCTTCTAAAGTAATGCCTTAGAAGTTAGTTAAAAAGTTTTATAATAGTATATAAGTGTCTTTATTACGAGTAAGTGAGTAGGTTTTACACCGTTTTGGAATGAGGTATCAGAAAATAAATATAATGACGGAAAAATATCAATAATACAATTTTACTTACACAGTAGAAACAGTGGAACCAATTTCTATCAACAATAACAAAGATTGACACAGTTTCATTGATTGTAGCTTTCAAAGTTTTAATTCGTGCACGACTCCATAAAAAAACCAAATAAGAACATTCGTTTCAGAAATCAAAATTTTCCATTCTGAGGCTATTCAACTTCTACTTTTTTAACGTAGATGATACACACCCTTATATACCAGTTGGATAAATATAGGTGTACATTGTTTTTAGGATATAGTTTGTAATAGATGAGGAAGAATATTTGTGTTTTGTTATTTTTGTCGATTTTAATAGCTGTAATTTTCTCCCTTACCTTGAAGTCATACTTCATCAAGTTCAGACGAGGCCATATGTCTTCGATAAAAGTAATACTCCCCATAAACTTCATACATGTGTAAAATCATGTATGAGCATCGATTGTCGTTATCCCCAAACAGGATACATGAAACGAATAAGATAGTTTGTTGTTGTCGAGAGATGAGAACAAAAATAAGGTAATTTTTGTTTGATGAATAAGAACTCGACACGCTACTTATGTTAAATGGAATGAGTTACCTTGATGTCAACTGATGTTAGTAACATTAGTAATTGAAATATTTTTTCTTACAATTATGTATTTTTTCGTGGGTAAAATCGTTGAAACAAATTATGTAGAAGCCAAATTTGTGTATAAGCTTGTATCTCAATACAGATGTTGACATAGTACAAGTTTCAACGAAAAATAAACTCTTCTCATTTCATTAAACTCCAATGCATTGCTAATTGGTCTTCTTAAAGCAGGATTAACATATTAAATAAGCTGTTATTGTTGCACATAGAAATAATGAGAAATAGAAACAACAGAAAATAACTTTGCAATAGTCGCTGGAAAAAAACCCACTAAAAAAAGTAAAAGATATGTTGATACACACAAAAGTTCGACTTTTCGTTGTTAGTATAAACCAAACTTTCCAGAATTTTAGACATAGAGGGAAGAAGTGTAATAGGTCTATAATTTGTCGGTAAAGTTGTATTTCCATCTTTAAAAAGTGGATGTATCAATCCAATTTTCCATCTTTCCGGAAAAACTCCTGACGAAAGAGAATAATTACAAATGTGTTTCAAGTCTTCAACAATAACTGGCCCCGCTTCTTTTAAAATTTTTGAACTTATGC